GTGGAGGGCATAGGGGTCCATATGGTCGATCACGGAACATTTCCTCAGATATGTTCCATGATCTGGTGGCTCTAGCGTGCTGGCGTACTTATCCATTCGTGACATGATATATACGATATACGATAATATGCCACCCAAGATGGCGGACCGGAAGCTGGCCAGTGACGTCACTGAAAACCCCCTATTGTGTGGGTATGGCGAGTGGGAAAGAACAGGAGTTGGAAGACACCAGCAGCACTTTATAGGTCTGCTGTATGGGACCGCTTTGCATTTAATAAATTCAAAGCAGCAAAACATGCGGAAATGATCCAGGGTTTCCGCGGATCATTAAAAATAATTACAATTTATAAATTTTTTTGAATTATTTTCATTAATTTCATAATTTTTTATGGGATTTCGGTGTAACAATAAGCATATACCGAACCGAACTGAAAACCGTGACCACGAAAACGTGAACCGAACCGAACCGTGGATTTTGTGAACCGTTCCACCCCTAATATATATGTATATACACACATATAAAAAACACAGCAAAATCCTTCATCATCTTTACTGTTGACAGGCTGCAGCCATGTCTCAAATTCCTCTTTTCCAGCCATTTTTGTTGAATTTTCCCATTCTCTAGCTTATGAAATCTGTATTGTTGATTTTTTTTTAGTTTTTTTTTTTGTTTTGTTTTTTTTATAAAGCTTTTAAATGCTATAATCACATTTAATGAATTTTAATGCCAATTAAGGCCTTAATTAAAAAAATAATCATTTAATGACTGATTTCTAATGTCCCGTGGAAACCCTGTAGTCAGTCGGTTGTTTTCCCCTGGATAGATTTCCAAAAACTCTCATTATCTTGTAATAAATGTAGCAGCTTTCTCTCAGTCAGCTGGAGGGCAATTTGCAGCAACAGGTAGGAGAGGAGACGGGCTGTATGAATCTTTGCTTTATAAATATCACCCACCTATTCTTTCCAAAAATGTAGCAGAAACTCCAGATACTTTAGAGAGGAAACTGTGTGATTTCCACCCCTGATTTACAGGAAACGGGTGGAATATTTGGGTCTGACTGTCACTGATCAGCTGGAAGCCAGAATGTTTACCTCTAAGGTGATAGAAGGGCGGCACGCTAACCGAAGGTCACAGGCCTCCTACCTTCTCTTTGGCCCGCAGCTCATCAAACATGTGCTGTATCTCCAGCTTCCAGTCATCCTGCAGCGAGTGGAAAGAATCCTGAGGCATCTCCTCCTTCACCTGCTGCTCCAGAGCCGTCAGCTGCGTCAGGATGGAGCCGAAGTCGGGTCTTCGGTGAGGATCCTGGTCCCAGCATTCTGTCACACACACACACACAGGGATCCACACCGTATTTCTTTACAGTTTCTGTGTTTGTGAAGCTGCTTCCTTAAAACAGTAAAAAGAATCTGACAGATTCAGTGGTTCCCAGAACGGTTTCACTTCTTTCCATCCTGAAACAAGGAAGTCGCTAATAATTCGACTCAAAAGCAGCCAGATCCGACTTTAAGGCCTAATTCAGACGGAATGACTCACTCAGGAGGATGTTTAGTGGTTATCCTGCAACAGCTGACGTTTCAGGCGTTTATGGCGGCCGATTCCACGGATAAGCCGATCTCTTATTGAACTAGTTCTGGACAATTAAGCTGCTACGGGGGAATTTGGGGTAATTTGCTGCAAATCTTTGGGCATAATAAGCAGATTAGAAACCAATGCATTGATTTAATAATCATCGAGGAGCCACCGGAGGGGCAGACTTTATTTCTATTTATTTATTTATTTTGACAAATAAAGATAAATGAGCAAACTGGGGAAAAAGTCTGTTTTATGGTGCATGAATAAAAGAATACAAACATATTGCACAAGCAGAACAACACACTTCCTCCCCTCCTTAATAACTGCACAGATGAATCTTTTTTTTCCCTCTATTTTCGTGCAGCTTTGTGGAAATGAAAGAAAAAAAAATCATGTGACGGCTACAATGATGAATCGATTTCAAGCTAGTGAAGCGTCACAAAAACGGACGGGGGGTGAAATCTATTTTCAAAATCCTACCTGCCATGAGCTGAGCGAAGGGTTCGGGGCATGTGGAAGGGATGGGCAGGGTGAGCTTGTTGACAGCCACTCCGTACGCAACGGCCAGGCCATCAATCCCCTTGTAGGGGGCCTCTCCTGTTAGCAGCTCCCACAGCAGGACGCCGTAGCTGGAAATGAAAAAGAGAGAAAAAATAAAAAATCACAGGGAGCTCAGAACAAAGCTGGAGAAAGAAACAAACCCTGAAAACCCACAGCAACTGTACAGCGCTTCTGATTTTCCCTTCAAAACAGATTTATCGACATTTCTGTTGTGTTTTCTTTTTGCTGTGGTGATCTGGTTAAAAAGTCAGAGCCTTTCGTTGTCTAACCATCACCCCAGAATGAAAAATCCTGGGTCTATACAGATGTCTATACAGATGCCTCCCTGTTAGGTAAAAACATCTGCAGGGTGAGAGCATTCAAAAACCTACTGCATCTAATTTTATTTAAATTCAGACGGAGAGCTAATGGTAAATCATTTTTGATGTGAGCAGCACCTAGCTACAGTGTTTTCACCGTCTTTACCTCACAAACTAATTCCCTTCATTTAATAAACCAAATGACGCACACACCACCTGCACAGTGAAACACGGTGGAGGAAGCATCATGCTTTGGCCGTGCTGTTCCTCAGCGGAGTAAAGAGAGACGGTAATATGTGACGGGAAGGAGGTAGGAGTAAAAAAACAGGAAAATATCAGGAGAAAAGATCCTTCAGACTAATAATAATAATAATAATAATAATAATACATTTTATTTAAAAAGGCGCCTTTCTGGACACTCAAGGTCACCGTACAAAAACATAAAAAGTGTCAGAAAAAATAAAAATGATAATTATAAAGACATTTAAAAACATTTAAAAAATACAGAGGCTGTGACAGTGAAATTGATATTTTT